AAAATTTATTGTCAGAGTCGGGCAGTTTTAGCCTACCGGCCACTTTTTGGAAAAGAGAACCCGCATTTCCATCCTGTATTTCTCGCTCCTTTTTCTCTGTACTATCTAATCTTCTCAGTTCCTATCAGGAGTCAGTCAGCTAGCCCAATAGTTACAGTAGGCACAACGACTCTGTGTGCTTCGGAATGGTGAGCAATGGAGCCGTTCTGGTAGGAGAAGAGTTGCTGTTGGAGTGACCTATTGCCTCCGAGCTAGTTAAACGGGGAGCAGTAGTTACAGTTCCGACTTGGCTTTGTACAAAGTAGCATGAGTATCATTGCTGTCTATTAACCATGGAACTTGCGCTGGGGACTTCTACTAGGAGGGGAGGAGGGTACGAGGGAGGGGGTAAGGAGCAGATGGAGAGGAGGCGGGAAGAGAGGGACTGGAGAGGGGCTAGGAAAAGGAAAATGTAGTAATATGTACTATTAGCATTTAGACCTGGCTGACATTTAACAATATAATTGATCTCGGCTATTTGCATAGACTAGACCCTATACTTTTTCTCTTACTGTTTTTCTTAAATGTTTTAAACACCCCTATTAAGAATCAATCTATCTCTACTCAGAAACCACACATAAATATAAAAGCCAAGCAGAAAATAACAATAAAAACATACCTGCTAAACAAGTAACTTTTAATTCAAAGCATCAAAGGCTCCAGGATGAGCATGCCAATTAGCCCATGTAGTGACAAGCAGTCAACACCTTATTACTTAATCATTAAAGAGAATCCTGCCATAATTTCCCTTTGACATATTTCAAAAAATGAATTAAGGGTAGATCACATGACCCACAACAATGCACAGTGACGTTTAGATAATACTAAGACCCTATGTCTTACAAGTATTATGCACCAAGAGGTTCAGGAGTAAGTCCTTAAGCAGGAACCTATGAAGCATTTACAGTTTCTTGAAAAGCGTATTAAATGTAAACATTCAGAAACAAGCTACCTGATAAAGGACCCATTTCCCTACCTACTGCTGGTTGTGTCCAGTTTTTTAGTGAATGAAAACGCACTGCAGACGTTCCTAGTGTTGGTAAACATCTGTGCCTCATCTATTTTTTTTTTTTTTTCTAAGCAACCAATTCAAGCCATGAAGGACATTAGGTTGTCTCCCTTAGAGGAACCTCTACCACCAGAAAGCTGAAATCTCCTGGAGGGTGACTCTCTATGCCACTCTGGAGTGAGCAAGAGCTTTCAGTCAAGTCTGACTTCAGTTTTAAAACGTTTAACTCAAACTACGCTTCAAAAGGGCATTCTGAACTTCGGAAATAGATGCGACTATCGCAACCAAAGTTACCAGGCCCACTTGGGAACCATTCCCACTAGCTCAGATTAGCCCTGGATCCTCTAGGCCTGGTCGCCAGGCTGCCCAAGCCCGGGGCTGCTGTGATTGCCCTCGCCCCCAGGCTACCCCCACTCCAGGGAGTCTGCTAGCACTTGGCTTTTAACCTGCCGGGCCAGCCAGGCTTTCGTGCCTCTTCTCAGGAAGCCACAGAACTTCTCCCTGGACGTCTAGGGCCAGTCAGGATTAACACGCAACAGGGCGCCCAGCTCTGGCCGCCAGCTCTGGCCCAGGAGCTGTTAAATGCAGATTCAGAGGAGGACCCCCGGAGAGCTGCTGTTGAATAATACTGTAATCCGAAGGCACCATTTCTCAGCGTCCAGCTTTCCCGGTAGGGAGAAGCTGAGCCGCTGCTGCTGATGGCATAGCCTAGGCCTGGCTAATCTCTGCTTTCTTCCGAGACGTGGCCACCCCGCTCCTCTGCCTTAGTCCTTGGATTCAAAACTGCTTCGATTCGGGAATAAAGAGGAACAGATATCCCCGGGAAGGAAGGCGACGGCTCCTTCCGGGAGTACCGCCTCAAGTCCAGCATTTGGGTGGCCACGCCCGGCGCCCCCGGTTCTACCCACGACCCCTAGTCCCCAGCTCCTCCTAGCCTCGGCCCGGAGTCCTTCCTGGCGGGTGGCCTCCCAGCCAAACCCTTGCCCGCACGCCTCCCTTTCAGTCCTCTCCCGGGTCTCAGCCCGTCCCTTTATCTCCTCCTCCGAGGCGGGCAACTCCTGATTCTGCTGCCCGCAACCCCTGGGGGTCGCGAGCGTCTGCGCCCTGCCAGAGCGTGCCGGTCGGGAGAGGGCGCCCCGGAGGCTGGCGACCACTAGGCATGATCAGGGGACCTCCAGATGGCCTCCAAGAGTGGAGAAGACCGAGAACCACCAGGAAGTGGGGGAGAATAGCATTATAGCTTCTAATCTGATAAACAAACAACAAACAAACAAACAACCCTACACTGTTGTAAGGCCTACAACATTACATGACCAAGAGCATTTCCACCGACTTAAATAGATCTCCAGGAAATAGACTGGCATCAAAATCGTTGATCCTAGACCCCGGCGCCCTCCGAGGGGGTAGGGGAAATAAAATAAAATAAACCGTAGTGCCAGCAGACCCTAGAGGCAGAGCGGTTAATGAGCTAACTAGGCCTTCCTGAAGCGTCAAGTCCCCTAGGGCACCCAGTGTCGGGTCCCGAACAAACTGGGCCGCCTTCGTAGACTGGGGGCCGGGCGGGGGGCACTCTTCCAGGCCTGGCCCCCTGAGGCTCCACAACCGGGGTTCAGCATCCCCTGGGGATCCCCCCCCCAAGTCTTCTGAACAAACACTTGGACACCACGGGATGGCTCTGGTGCCTTGACCTTCACCCCTCATCAGCCAGCGGAGGGAAGCCCTGCCCACCGGGCTCCCCAACCGAGCACGCTGCCCTCACCTCCCCAGACCCTTTCCAGGCACACTAGCTCCTGGCTTTTTGGAACTGGATAACATGAAGAGCATACATCCATTGCTGTTCTCAGTCCAACAGAGCTGGGTGTGCTCAAGGGGTCACACGGGCAAGCTCACTCACCACGACCCCACAGCGTCACGAACCCAGACAAACCTACGAAGCCCACATCATAGCAGCATGGACTGCCTGCACAATTCTCCTTTTGTAGGTACGAAGGGAGAATAAAGGGCACGTGTTTACCCGACGCACATCTTAGACTAATGAAACGGGGTGAGGGAAGTTTGCGAAGGCGTAGGGAGAACTCAATGACGTTTTATTAATTCTATATCCTCTACGCTCCCCAAACCCCATAACTTTGGTTCTTTATCTTTGACTTTAATAAAATAATGATTCGTTGAGAAAATGGGGTATAAATCTTCATTTTGGAGGCAATTAAAGTGTTGATTTCATTCATGCCCCTAAGCGGTTCTTGTAATTTGCTCAAATAGCTTTATGTAGCCAGCACTCCGGAGCTTTTCGAATCCCATTTTCTAGTTCGGCTTGTTGGATTACAATTTTTACTCAACAGCAGCTACTAGTGGAATCTGCATTTAGCGGGACTGGCGACTGAGCCCCTCAAGTGGCTGGGAAGCCTGGGGCACTAGGGCGGGGGGGTGGGGGGCGCCGCCTGCAGCTTTCCCACCTCCCTCTGCACACACTGCGGGGGGTCTGTGCGTCCATCTACACCGGCCAGTTTCCAACTCTCCAAACAGGAGTGAGGACCTCTCCTGCTGGCACTTTTAGAGTTCTACGTTGCCATATCACTCGTGGGCAAAGAAGAAATTCAGCACAAATTGTGGAATTGCCGGGGATTATTCAAAGATATTGGGGGCATACTTTAGGATGCCACTAAGAATGAAGTTGAGACAAGACAGCATTGGCCGGCAGTGACCATGATAAAACTTCCAGAGAAAAACCGTGGAGTAGCTGGCCTTTGACTTAACAAAGGCAGGCTGCTGTTTCCCCCAAGAAGCCACACATAAGTCAAGCTCAAGTCGGAAAGGACTCTAGGGTTTTGCTGATGGGGCTGGAGGCAGAGGAGGCCACAGCTTAACTCTCTAGACTGCCGCAATGCTCTCCAGAGCTTTCCAGGACCCTGTTTCATCTCATTCGCTCCTCAGGTTTTCACTTTCATTGCTTTTTTTTTTTTTCTCCCCAACTCATTTAGACCAATCCAGAGACACAGCAACAGGAAAGAGAAACTGGGAGCAAATGGTGGTGCCCCAGTGACAAGAGGGAAATCCACCACCACCCCCAGCTCCAAATAAAAATCATACCCACTTAGCACTGCAGCGGGAAAAGGGGCCTGGAGGAAAGACTGGAGAGGAGGGGGCAAGGCAAAGAGCCGCAGTGGAGAGCAAATGCATGGGCCCCTGCCCTCCACACCCAGGGAGTCGCCAGGGCGTCCTTGACGCTCACCCTGCCAAAAGCTGCCAATGCGGAAAGCCCAGAGCACACACCATCTAGAGGACGAGTGGGAAGGAGGAGGAGAAAAGTCCATATTTATCTGTTTTTCTAACCTCGGCCTGCTTTTATTTTTTTCTATTAAGTACAATAAAATGGGTGAGCTTGCAGGGAATACCACACAAAGCAATGTTCAGTGAGGTCTAGAAGCGTTCGGCCGGGGAAAACTGACAAGACAGGCTAATGAAGCGTGCAGACAGGGAGAAAATAGCCAGCGTTTGCTAGATTTCAAACCCTCACTGTCTTTCTTAGACCACCTATCTTGGATTTATTCCTAATAAAATAAGAAATACGCAGCCCCTACACTTTTCTTTTCTTCAAGATAGAAGGGGGGAAATGCCCACGAACAAAGCCCTACCATCAGAGGTGGCCACTGGCAGTTAACACTCCCATTATTATGGAGGGTAAATAAAATAAAGACAAAAATTAAAAGCGACAAGAAACAGGTCAAGTTTGCAGGCGAAGCTTTTACAAGCTCATCTCTCCAGGTCGAACCCCAGAGCCAGCCTTAATGAAGCAATAATAGCCACATTATTCAAAAATTTTCATTTTGATGGAAATGTATCTAAAAGGGACTTAATCATATGCAAATAATAAAGGAGGTGGTAGTGACCCAGCAAGCAATATGCATACAGATTTTTTTTCTGAGGGATGTTGAAATTGAAAGTCTCATACCTGGTCAGTTAGATTTGCTGATCTTGTCACATCTTCACTGTCTGATTTTGATCCTCCTTCTCTGTCATCTATCACCAAATCGATAGGCATTTTCCCTTTCAAACAGCTAATATACCGGTGGCAGAAATTGTCACATAATTCGTGTACCTACATTATGACAGAAATAAAAAAAATGGAAATATAATCAGGAGTGCATAAACGACATTGACAAGTGCAGTCCAGCCCCCTTGTGAGAGCCAAACTTCCAAATGGGGGAAACACAGGGCAATTGTCCTCTAGAGACCCCCAGACGCATTCAGAATTAGGAATAACTTTCTTTTCTTGCAAAATAGAGATATCCCAGAAAATTGACAGTGACAAGATGATTCACAGGCTACAACATATTCAACACCCATGTTAAATTCATCTGCTCCTGGGGCTGTGGCCATTACAGAGGTGACCTGCATGGGTGACACTTAAGGTAAACTATTTAATTTCATCCAGTTAGTTTACCGTAAAGCTTTCCCCAAAGTTTCTAAGGAAAATGTGTGATACACACCACACACACACACACACACACACACACACACACACACACACCACACATCTGTATTGTGATGAGATAAGACACATGCCTGACAACCCAAACCAAGTTGCCTTTGTCCAATATATATATATATTTCAGCCATAAAAACTTATCTAATTGATTTTTTTTTAAAAAAGTAGTACTCAAAATATTTAGGTCTAAATAAAGCCAACTCTTACAGGCCCCAGGCATCCCTTACATGCAGAACTCACAAGAAATCCCCGGAGTGCTTGCAATTTAAAGTTAGTTTGAATTACAATGCATTAAGTTTTTATTGCTGAGATTTATAGAACAGCTAGCAAAATCATGGTCCCCCACACCCTCTCTTGAGTGTGAAGGTGAGGTGTGTGCTGGATCACAGATTCAAGGATTTGACACAACTCTCAAACCTGCTTTGTGTCTGAGCAAGCTCTGCCATGCCCTCCTCTCCAGGGCTCTGGCCACTTGTCCTTCTCCCAGCCCCTTCTGAGTTTGACCTACCACTGATCTCAAACTGTCTTCAAGAAACTCACTAAAACAGAGCACACACACACACACACACACACACACACACACACACACACAGCAAAGAAGAGAAGTAAGAGAAAAAACCACACACACACACACACACACACACACACACACAGGCATTAACTTGTAAAACAAATTCACTCCGGCATTCTAAGCATGCACTGGGGTGCCTAGCAGTGCAGCGGATACACAAAGCCAGCAAGGTACACGAGGCTAGAGTGTCTGTGATCCCGGTTTTAGTGGCTGAAATTGTAATTAAACTGCAAAGAGAAATGGACGCTAAGATTGGCCTTGACACTAATTACCAGAAAAAAAAGACATTTATGCAAATATCTTGGAAGCCTGAACTGCAGTCCTTCTGAACCCTCCCTTCAGCGCGGTTGGGATGAAAGGGAAGTGGAGGGAAGGGAGAATAAAGAATTTACCTTCTCTAATTCCAACAGATGAAACCTTAATACTTGTATGGCTTGAATCATCTGCAAAGATACAAAAAGAATGAATACTCCATTCCTGGTTTGCAGAAAATTGGCTGTCACAGCTCTAGCATCTCAAGCTCACCCCTTCCCCCCATAAATAGAGTTATTTTGATTTATGGCAATAACACTAAAACTTAATAGCAGCGACTGGGTACCATCTAGAGGTTTATATTTCTTAAGGAGAAAAAATAGCTAAACCAACAACAAAACATCTAAGTGGGGATCATAAACACTCTCCTTCTCCATGGCTTCCCCCCTCCCGAATCTTACTGCCCCCAACCCAATTCAGAGGACCACTGTCTAAGCTTTTCCTATGAAGAAGTTACAGGAAAGTTTTCCCCAAGCAGTGGCTTTGCACTTTGCAAAAATTTTTTCCTGCCTTCTGTCCATGCACCTTTGATGCCAATTGGCTGTCTGGGGGCGGGGGGCTCTGCCCTCACCGTGGCCCTGATGAAGGAGACTCATAAGGCTGGAAGTCCCGCAAGGTTTAAGCATACACGCTGACGGCCAGGCGGGGAGATAAATCCCCAGGCTGATTAGAGCTGTGCGGCCTGGCCATCATAAAAAACAAAAGCCGGCCGGCGTTCCCTAGCCGCTGCTCCTGGGCCATCTCAGATGAGTTTATACCCCAGGATCCAGGCCCCAAACACTTGTCCAAGGACAGAAAAAACGTTTGCAGTCGACTTGCAGCTATGGATAGATTTGTCCGGAAAGCTCAGGGCTGGGGGCTGGAGGTCGTGTGCACAGATAAGGGAGGGGAGTGAGGGGTCAGCTCTTACCAAGTTATCCAGTTCTGGATTAGAAGAGAATAGAGGTTTTTCTGCGCGAATCTAAACACAAGCGGGAAGAAGGGAAAGAAAAAAAATGAAATGAAATTTGGTCGCCTCCCTACTTTCTTGCCCCCATTTACACTGTCAGGGGTAGGATATAACCTCCAAGAGGGACTCGTGACTCAAATTCGTCCCTCACGGAAAACACTTCAGTGTGAACCCAGTAGGCCTGAGACCAGCCCAGAGCGCCCCTGACTTCAGCTAGAGCTCCGCTTCTTATGCGGAACGCTGCTCGCCCGCCACTCCAAAGCAGCCACAGAGCGTGGTGTTCCTGACTTCATTTCCTAGTGAGCTTCTGGACGGTGAGTGAGTGTGGAGATGGGTGATGATCTGCAAACGCACTCACTGGACGAAAATCTCTGGGAGGCAGTAACACGCGTGGCTGAAGGGAGACTATTTTCTGGCTACTTTTGAGAAATTATATCTCTATCTCTCCGTCTCTCTTTGTGTTTGTATGTGTGTGCATGTGTGAGTGCGGGGGAAGGGGGTGGGGAGCGGGATTCTTTTTTTGTTTCTTTTTACTTTTTTTTTTTTTTAACATTTATTTTGCTGACCTGTTTGGCGAACACGGCTATATCTTCATTGAATGACTCTGACGAGCAGACGTCCCCGCCCGCCACCCCCGGCTCGCGGGGGGTACAAGTAGCTAATTCACATTTCTCAAAAATCAGTGCTAAGAGAGGGAAGAGGGGGTGTCTGCAAGAAAATACAACAGTCACAAACAACACAATGATTAGTCCGGAGTCACCAAAAAAAGGCGCCCAAGAGAAACAACCCGAGTATCTCGAGGCAGAGAGACCCTTGGGTGATCTGATCATCCGCTTTTGCCCTTTTGCTCACGCCCGCCCAGGTGACGGCTCACCTCCCCCTTGCTCCTAGGGCTCTGAAGTCGGAGGCCCTGAGCCCCGGACCGTGTCTGCGGATCAGTTCAGCATATCTGGCCGGAGAAATTGGCAACATTTGCTACGAATAAAACCCAAGCGGTTCCAGCAGCCATTTTGAATTAACTTTCGCACCGCGACAAACCCTCGTCCCTCCGCCGCACAAGCAGGACCTGGTGCCCCGGGAAGGCAAGGCGCGCAGGCCGAGGGGTGGGAGAGGGCCAGCCTCGGCCTTCCTCCGAGGCACGGCACAGATCCCTAAGCTCAGGGGATCTCGGTGGCAGGCGCGCAGCAAACTTGAGGCCTCTGTGGCTGCAGGACCGACTGTCACAGGACAGCACCCACCGACCCTTGCCACACAGCCCCCCGAGAAGCAAGGGGTCCTCCAGGGCTCCCCAACCCTGCCCTCCCTTCGCAGACGCTCCCCACAGTCCCACAAAGAAAGTTCCTTCAAATGCTTTTACAGTCAACCCTTCCATTTCGTCCAGAGTGGAGAGTGGTTAAGCGACTAACATCTAAAAGGCCTAGATGTCACTCGCCTCAGCCCATTTAAAAAAAAAAAAAAGACTTTTAATGCTCAAGGAGCCTTTTATTAGCTCTCACAGCCCAGCTGGGAATTTAACAGTTTGGGGTCCTTTTTCAAAGCTTCCTCAAATGTTCTGTCCTGGAGCCTAAACCATTTGCAGAGAGGAGGCTGGGATTTAAGCAAGCCCACCGCACGAGGGACCAGAAACCAGGCAAAAAGATTCCCTCCCTAGCCGAGGGTCAATATTAAATATTTTTCTAAAAGAGGAAAGTGAAATGAAAGTTATTACAAAGTTTAAAAATAAACGTGGGGAGAGTGTCCCCAAAACATCAGCACACAGTAAAGTACAAGTAACTTTCCAAAGGGTTTCTAACGCAGGGTCTAATCGAATGGCCGACGGAACACAGCAAACCCTGGCCAGAAAGTCTCCCGAAGAAGAGCATCCCCCAAGCACTTCTGGCTAAATCCTGAAGGTTTCCCCTTTGAACACAAAGTGCCAAAACGTCTAGAAGTTTCTAAACGTCTGTGTCAATTCAGAGTCCTTGACTTCAGTTGAACAAACTCCTTAAAGCAAGACATGTCCCCCCTTGTCTGACCTGCAGCAGTCCTCCTGACTTCATTGTGCACCAGAAGAACCAGCATACGGTGGCTGAGTAAACTCTGCGAGTCAGAACAATCAATGGCTTAAAAGATTTTCCTTAAACTAAAAGTTTCTTTCCAACACAAAGGCGCCTACACTTTGAAACCCCCAACGCTCTCGAGCTAACTCGAGCGAGCAAGGTCTCAGATCTTCTGACTCGGAGTCTGAGAGGGGATGCCGAATCTTTTAGGCAGCCACACTCCAGCACTGGGACTCCTTGGCGGCCAACGTGGCGGCCAAGCCGGGCGCTGAGCCTGCACCGAGTGCTAATGGAACTGCGGAGGAGGCTTCTCCCCCAGTTTCCATGCAATGTGAATGAAAAGTCGCCAGTTTTTGTACAGTTAATCGAGAGCTCTGACTTTCCGGTTGCAAGGGCTCGAGGAAATGGAGGCAGCATCGCGTCTCAGCTACTTAACTCCTGCCCATGATACCTACCCATAAATGGCATCTTTATCTCTCTTTAAAGCGTCATTGACTGAGGAGCCCATGCTGGGGGCCATGGCGTTGGTATGAGCTGTGTGCGGGTACTGATGCGAGTGCAGAGGAGGCCCGTGGTTCAGGTGGTGGACCGGCTGCATGGACCTGGCCGCATGCGGGTCCCCATACATCGTGGAAGGGATGCCTACTCCATCCATGCCCCCATAATGGGGTAGGTCGTCGTACTGCATGACAAACAGAAGAGAAAAAAAGGGTCAGAGGCCGTGCGGGTAAACGGGAACTGTAGGGCACCGAGCTTATAAAAGGTCAGTCCAGCTGGATCCTTCAACCGAATTCCATGGCCTTACATCTCTAAAGTTTAGCTCCCTATTGTAAAAATTTATTTTAACAGTAAAAATTCTAGAATTCTCAGCGAGAGTCATCTGAGATGAAGGTTCCTGTCCTAACTTGTGTCCATATAGACTAATTCAGAAATCCAAAATCTTTTGGCAAGGAAGGGAGGAAGGAAGAAGGAACGGCAGAGAGGCATTCTCCCGGAGGCGGAAGGTAAAACACGCATGTTTCTGGAGGAGGAAACCGAAAATCACAACAATAAAACGTGCCGGGACAGTGTAGCAGACCCGCCTAGCTTCACAGCCCCTACACTTCAGGGGGATTTTTTTTGTTAAAGTTATGATGGGAATAGTTGTGCCAAGCACGTGAATTCAGAAAGGCTTCTCATTTTATTTCCCTGCCAGCATGGGATTGGGCAGTCCTGCAAGACACAACGTATGCTTTGCTTTCCAAAACAAACTCTGCTAAATTATACAAAACGAACTGGCCCCTTATATATGTACACTGAAGTGTACATAAGGCAGCCTGTGCTGCACTGTGCAGCTGAGCATGGAGCTGGGCAAGGTTCCCTCCGAGTTTAAAGAAAAGCTATACAGGAGGCAACTGAGCTCTATTTTATTTTTTTTACCTTCACAAACTTTCTCCCTAGAGTAGAAGTCAAGGGAAGCAATTGTTACTCATTAGCTTTTAAGCAAATTCAAAAGCAAATACACATCCAAACCCACCTGGGGGGGGCAGGGGGGCTGCTTTCAAATTGATTGTCATTACTGTCTGTGATAAATTCAGCTATTTGAATTTTTCTAATTGTTTTACTCTAGGCAAGTTCTTCTTCTAAGATTTGGAAAGGGTGAGAGAGAGTGAAACGACTTTCAAAGACAGGGGAATTGCCACTTTCATCCTCTTAAAGCCAGAGGTGTGAAGAGAGTTTGAAGAATGCTGACATTTGCCTGAACCAAGAGAATAAAGAAAAATGTGTCAGCTAGTAACTTTCTTTTCCAAAAAGGGCTTTGAGGGCCAGGACACAAATTATGCAAGGAAGCCTTTCTGTAGACCCCTTTCTTTTAGGAAGCCACCTCAGCTGGGTCGTCATTGTCTCAGTTTACTTTCAAGGCATTTCCATTCAAATAGGAATATTGGGCAAATTAGTATTGCATTTTAAAAGTGAGTAGCTGTGTGTTTAATATCCAATTAGTACAGGGTTTATCTAAGAAAAAATCTGCAAATTTATTATCTTGCATAAAAATCCATGCAAATTAAAATTACTTTTAAAACATGAATGATTTTCCAACAAAAAATTCTCTGTACTACAACAGTTACCTATCTAAAAATACTACTTACTTCTACTGATATTAAAGATGGGCATAATCGATAATATAGCAGAAGTTCCCAGCTGTTTATTTTAATTAAACATAGCTTTAAACTTTTGGTCTCTAAATGCTCAAATTATAGCATTGGGTATGTAGCCTTTTCCCCCTTCTCTTTCTTCTTTTCTTTTAAAACAGGTGACTCCTTGAGCTTGTATTTTTATTTATATAGCTGTTGGTTAGGAATCTATACAACTTGATCACTTGAATTAGCAATCATAGAATTAACATGCATAAAGCTACAAATGCATTAAGTAAACCTGTCGATTTAGGCCGCGGCTTTAGGAGCCTCATTCAAAAAGAGAGAAAGAAAAGAGGAAACTTAGCAGCAGTGTCTTTCAGCCACGTTTCAATTTAATCTCACATTTGAGTTCCACAATTGTTTTTAATACGTACCCTTTGCGCCATCGGCCTCTCTGGCTTCCCTTCCTACTCAACTTCTAATATATCCTCTTTAAGGCCAGTGTGAAAAGAAACAAATATGCAGACTCCCTCGGAAAAAAAAATGAAGCACGGAAAAAAAGAAAAGAAAGAAATAAAATCCCTTTGCGTCTCCAGCAATGTGAGTTACTGGTCCCAGATCTTCGGTCTACCGGACCTGAAGCAAGGCGCCCGCGTCGCTGAGCATAAAAGCGCTCCGGTTCCAAGACAGCAGCGGGAGGAAAAAAAAACCAAAAAGCAGATCTTCTCCCCCCCCCAAAAAAAAATCAGTTAAAAAAAAAAAAAAGAGCGCCCCTCAGACCCAACTACCAAATCTCATGGCTTTCTGCCACTCCAGCTGTCAATCACAGGCGAGGTTGTCAACGTGGTGAATGAATGATCATCCGCTCTGTCTTCTTCTGGTCAGAACACCTCAAATGTTAATATTCAAATGCACAAAGCCCTAGCGCCCGCTTCCCTTGAATCAGTCCTAATTCCTAATCAGTTTCTCTCTTCTCTCGCTCTCTTTCTCTTTCTCTCTCCCTCTTTGCAACTGCAGCACTGGAGGGAGATTAGAGAGGAGGGTTAAAAAAATGTCTGTCTGAGTTTGTCTTAAAGGAGCCACGATCGATGCTGCCCGCTTGCAGTCGCCGTGCGTGTGTAAAGTGTGTGTTGCACAGGCGGAGAGGTGGATTCCGACCAGAATGCTAGAACCCGGAAGTAGTGGTGGCCATAACAGGTCGCGTCTTACACAATGCATTGGGCTGCAGCAAGTAGGCTCCTCGGCAGGGGTGGGTGCGCGAAGCGAGCTCTGGCCGCACTGGAGAGGCAGAAAGGCGCTCCATGAATTCGCACGCCCAGGCACTAACACCACACACCCAGGGCACATGCACACGGATGCAGGCTGCAGCTCCGGACCGCCGGCTTTACGTCCCGTGTTCTTTTCACTCCTTCGCCTTCCAGCCTCTCTTCCCAAACTGGACTCTTGAAATAAATTGGGAATAAACGCAGGGCAGGCAAATGCCGGAGTTATTTCTCTCAGAGCTCCGCTCATGAAAGACTTCAAGACTTTCCTCGAAATTATTGGGGTCTGCCAGTATTTTCCGGGGTCGGGGGGGTGATGCCAAACGTACTGGATTCTCTGCTAGACTCCCCAAGGAGAAAAGTCAAAGCCAGAGCAAGAAGAGGCGCTGGAGCTGGCTTGGGAAAGGTTCAGCTTAGGAGTCCCGAGAACGTGGGGTGGCGGTCGCCTGGGCGTTCTGCAGACCCAGCTTAGAGTTTTTTGTTTTGAGATTTTTTTTTCCCCCCGCTGTCAGAAGTGGACGCGCGGCCGGAGGAAAGGAAATGCTTGCATTTTGTCACTCTGAGTCCGGACGCCCCCACCTCCTCTGCCTGGCAGCCCTCAGCCCCAGCGCGAAGTGAGGGAGGAAGGGAGGGAACAATGAGCCGAGCGCGGGGACTGTGCCCCCGGCGCTTGTTTACAAACACCGAGCTATTTATGACCGCCGGAGAGCGAAACTCAACCCAGGCAAGAGCAGCCAGACCCCGCGGACCGCCGGGGCCTGGGAGCCGCGGGACCGGGGGGCTCTTTCTCGGTCGCGCTGTCGCCGAGGCAGCTGCGTGCTCGGGGCGCGGCGCGGCTGCAGAGCTCGGCTGAGCTGCGGCCGGGGATGCCTTTGTCTGGGCGACGCCACCGGGGTTCCAGCCTCGGCCTTGCCTTGGCCTGGAAGGGTTGCGCACCCCAGCTCCTTCAGAGGCGACGCACGGCGCCGGCCTCCCAGACCTCCATCCCTCTGCTTTTCTATCTCCGACCCAGCCCCGCGAAAACTCCCAGTTCCAGAGAAAAAGAAATCCACTTCGGAAGCTAAGATTTCAGACAAAAGCTGACCCTGCCCACAACTTGAAGTCTCCAACCAGCCGCTGGTTTTTAACTTTCTCCCTTGAAATACCACACCCCGGACTTAAATTTTTTTTTTTTTTTAAGTCTTTTTATTCTCACTCTGCGCTTGACCTCAGTTATTCTATTTAGTGGGGTTATTTTACTCTTTGTGGTTCTGTGCCCGGCTCTCATCGGCTTAGATAGCAGCTGGAAACCTCACATCCCAGGCAGGGCTCTCAGCTCGCTGGGCTCGGAGAGGATTCCCCCCCCCCCCCCACAAGCTGAAACCTCGCAGAAAACTCCCCCTGCGGTCGACTGGAAAATGAGCTCACCCAAATCTCGGTAGGCAGCCGTGGAGAGGGCTCCGCCAATCGGAAGGCGTCCCCGCCCAAGCGGCCGCGCATTGGCTGCGGGGAAAATCAATTATCAAATAATCGATCAGCAGGGAGCTTCGATCTGCTGGGAATGCAAACTGCCATTCCGGATTCCCGCCCTGAAGGTGGCCAAAAGGCTCACTCCCTCAAAGCAGCCGGCCCGCGCTCCCACCGCCCCCACCCCCATCCCATCGCCAGCTGCGGACCGAACCCTCACTCCAGGGGCGGGGGGCGGTTATGCGGAGAGTTCTGAGAAAGATTAGGGGGCTCCCTTCACGCGGAGATTGTTTGGAAAAGGTTAGCATCTCTGAAACGTACTGGAGCCAACTCCTAGGCTCCAAGTCAAAGACTTGTTACCAGTCTCCAGGCAGGACTCAAGTTTCTATTGAGTGGCCTTCTATGGAACGGGAGACACAGGGTGGTCACTAGAACCTCGAGCTGGAATCAGGTTCCATCGAGCGCTGGAGCCTCCTAGGCAACAGCCACGGTTCTTTCAGCACTCTGCACAAGTCAACGCCGGGCTGGTTCACTCCAGCAGCCGTGCGTGTCGGTTAAGCCTGGCAGACCAGGCTTGCGGGCCTCCAGCACAGCACCCCGCCCCCAACAACGAACACCTGAAGGGCTGACATATGTTCACCCCAAACCTTCAATGGGCTTTGCCTTGAAAGAGATCTGACTGCTTAAAACAATAAAAGGCCCCCACGATCCCTTATCGTGTGCCTCTGTGTCTTCTTTCTGTCTCTCTTATTTTTTTTGTTTCGACACTCAAGTTTGAAGATCTTTTCCTTTTTCTCATTATATTCTTGTGCACTGTTTTCTTGCACAAATGCCCCGATGTATCATTTGGAAGGTTAATGCAGGCTTGTGCGTCCAAACCAGGCATGGAAAAGCCAGGTGAATTGCCTCCCGGTCTCGGGAAACAGACTTTTCCGAAGTTTTGGGAATCTGAGCTGGCTGGGCCACGCAGCACACTTTCCTGAAAGAAGTATAGAACCGACTGAGCTGGGCAGACACCCTGAGAGCTCTTCCCCAACTCCAGACCAATGCCGCTGGCACCTGAGTGGCGGTCCACCACTGCTGGGTCCCGCCGGGTGAGAGTGTCATCAGCCCAGGAGGCCTGCGGGGCACCAGCACAACTCCCAGGGGGGTCAAGAGGGAATTGGGATGGACCTTTAAACCAGACTCCACCTTGAGCACGTCTGAGTTATAATTCTTAAACGAATCGCCAGGGCAATCGTCTAAATATAATTTAGCTAGGAGAAATTTACTGTAAAATACACGTAGATGACTTGGTCTGTAAGAGCCCAAGGGAGTCTCAGGCCAACTTAAGTAATGGGCTTAGAGTTTCCCTAACTCTGCGTGAAGGTTTTCAAGTTTGGACAAGGTCAGTTTTAATAAACTACAGATTTTTTGAGAATAGGATTTATTTGGGGTTCTTGCTTTTCAGTCAGTTCTTTTGCTTAGCAGTCCAAGTGGCAAAGGAACGTCCAGGTAAGAAACTTTTCATCGAGGCACAATCTTCAAAGTAAGGGCAAGGCTGTGGGGTTTTACCAGGGATGTGTCAGGTTACCTTAAAATATACTTTAATTACCTACCCACAGGTTTTCCTTTAAAGACTAGGATAGTTTGAACTTGTGAGCTTAAAATAAAGCCCTGTTAGTTTTGAAAACTTTCCATTTATGAATGTGCAGCTGACCTAGAGCTACTCCCAGGCCTCCGTAGACGACTTCTGAACAGTTGAGCGACTGAAACACTTTTACAGTGTAATTACAGTAGTATGAATTGTTTGCCCAAACCTCATTCTGGATAAGGATTTTACAATTAGCAAACAGTTATTACAGTTGGGCTTGCTGGGAGAAATTGCATACGTATAGAATTGCAATATAGTAGCCATAAAAAAAAATCTAGCAAGGCAGCAATTAATCATCTATTAAAAGGAGAGGTGAGGAGGCAATTCGAGATATCTCGGCAAGTTACATAAATTACTGTGACGTGTGTGCTGTTCTGGGATGTACCTACCCTAAGCTTATTTACAATGTTTCCTTTTTAAAGACAATAAATAGCATTTTGATTTTGGCAAAAACCCTCCTGTTCAGCTCTCCCTGCTGGCCCTACTTTTGAAGATGCAGAACTTTTATTTTCTATTTTCCCTTCCTGGCTCCCAGGGTCTTCCCAAAGTTAGAGTTCAGGGACTAAGAAAGGGGCGTGCTGAGCCCCTGGCCCCCTTGTTTATCATCTACCCCACGGGGAGGCCTCTACAGCAGGCAGTGTTCCTCTGGGCTGCGGGTAGTCTCAGAGAATTTCCTCCAACTTTCTGTTCTGTGAGGAGCTCTGCTAAGTTCATATCCTGAACTGGGCTTTTGTTTCAAAAGTTCACACCGATGAGTCAGATCCCAAACTCTTCAAAATTAAAGAGGCACCTCGGAAGGTAAAATGTGTGTGTATTTGCCAGCCCAACACAAATAAAGCCCTGGTAATCAATGGAGTTTGGCGGCTGTGTTCACAAAATGATAAGGCTTTATCATCTGGCACCTCACGGTAAGATGCCTGTTAAAATGTTGTGGTTCTCTTGAGGTTCTCCTGGAGTGTGTGAGCTTGGGATTTGTACTTCAAGAAAAACACTATCAGTCCTCTGCCCTCCAAACAGCACCCTACATTAGCATTTGCATTAAAAAAAAAAAAAAACAGAAATGGGGGTAGTTTAAAGAAAATGGATTTGAAATCTAGTGGAGATAATAGAGGAATGCTGGAGATAAGAGCCTGGATGCGATATGAGAACAGTACCAAGAGTTTAAAGCTAATGGATGACTGTGAGAAAACTGAAATAAACTATTTAGACGGCTATTAAAGGGAGAAACCAGGTTAGGTGATAGGAAAGGGGGATAAGGGGGGGGGATCAGGAAGGGACGTTAATCAAGTGTCCCAAAGCAATCCAGGCCACAAGGGCTGGAAGAATTGTTTACTACATTTTGCTTCAGAAAACAAAGACTGTCTGGGTCCAGTTCAGAAGTCAATGAGAGGTCAGCTTGGGCCCTCTGACCATCACAGGGAAAATGCCTGACTCACTATCTTCTGACTGCCTAACAAAAGTCCAGGGAAAAGAAATGTTGGGAGTCGGCTGCTTGCCTAGTTCTCTATTTCAAATCATTAAAATGCTTTGGTCTCTAGAGAGGGGAAAACTACACTGGTTAACATAATTACCAGCTCTGACATTTTCAGAACTTATAGAGGTCTTTTATTAATTAAATAGAGGGCTTAATAAAATATTCCTAATAAAATTTATGGTTGTCTTAAAACTTTCTAAACAGTGCTATAAATTCTTAATAAAATTAACTGGGAAATGAGTTATTAGCCTACACTTTGCCTTCCCCCAAACTTCAACAGGCTCTGCAGAATGGAAAGAAATAGAGGTCTTTTAAAATATAAATATTAGCCAAAGCTATACATTGCACTAGAGAAGAGGTCTTAACTATTATTTCTAATGGGCTTAGCCTTCAAAGCCTCACCTCCCCAAGGCTGCATACAAAACTTCAGGAGAATTTCTCTCCTTTACAGCATGCTATATATACATGTGTATACAAACTCTTAAAATGCAATGCTCAATGTTTGAGGCTGAGCTGTGTTTTGAATATAATAAAGAACATAACATATATTCTAATAATGAAATTTTGAAGGCCCAGGGCAAATAATTACCCATTAGAAGCTAAGCAAAATTGAAGTGTCTCGTTTTTTTTTTAATTTTGATCTTTCAACTTAATTTCCTTAAGAGTAGCTTTCAATTAATAAAATCTTCAGTAATCTCTCTCTCTCTCTCTCTCTCTCTCTCTCTCTCTCTCTCTCCCTCTCTCTCTCTCTTCCTTTTAACTATTAATGTATTTTCTGAAGGAAATACATTTGCTGTGCAGATACACAAAAATGCTTTCATCTCACTCTGTCTCAAAGTTTTGCGAAGTTATTTTTAGTTTTGAGATAGTTCTCTGCTGTACAGATCCAATGTTGGCTGATTGTTTAAAAGAACAGGCCACTGGCATTCACTCCAAATATAACCAAACCACCTTGTCTTGTTCAGTATTTAAAGGCTTGATCTTTTGTGCCGTCTACTGGACAATGGAAAAACTGCAGCCCTGTTTACTTGAAACTTTTCCCTGTCCAGTCTTTGGTGAAGGTGGGGGTGGGGAGAGGGATGTGTGTGTTGGGTGGGTAGGGTGAGGTCT